GGGCGGGGGCGGGGGCGGGGGCGGGCGGCTGCAGCGCCCCCGCACTCTCCGCGCCTCGCACACTTGCACCGGCCGCTCGCGCGCAGCCCGGCGTCGCCCCGTGCCGCGCTTGCTCCTCCCTCCCTCCTCCCGCTCCGTGGCTCCCGCGCTCCCGGCGAGGCTCAGGCGCCGAGCGCGCGGACGGCCGCACGACAGACGGCCCCGGGAAGCCTCGGCCCGCGCGTCCCGGGCGGGCTATGTTGATTGCCCCGCCAGGGCCGGCCCGCGGGATCAGCACAGCCCGGCCCGCGGCCCCGGCGGCCAGCGGGGACTATGAACCGGAAAGCGCGGCGCTGCCTGGGCCACCTCTTTCTCAGCCTGGGCATGGTCTACCTCCGCATCGGGTAAGGGCCGCTCGCACCTCCTGCACGCGCGTCCCGGCAAAGTTGGCGTGGCTTGGGGAGGGGTTGCGCCGCCCGCGAGCCGCCGCCGGCCGCTAACTTCCTTGGCTCCTCAGAAACGCCGGGTGGGCGCGGTGCGGGAGCGGTGGGCGCACAAAGGGCCCCCTTGGGCGGGAGCCCCAGGGGCGCGCACAGCTCCAGAGACACGGGGGACCGGCCGTCCTGAGAACGCCTGAGGCTGGAAGACCCCCAAACCAAGGACAGCCAGTAGGGACGCTCCAGCTTGGGGGACTCTGAAGAGGGCTAGCCGCTGCAACGGTCAGCGTCTCCCAAGGACCCTTCAGACCAGGGCATGGGAACAGCAGGTCCAGCGGGAACACCCAGCCAGGACCACAGCCGCTCGCAGGGAGCTCAGCTCCCAGAGCCCGAAAGGAACTCTGTACACAGAGGCGAGGGCACGGCCGCTCCTAGTACAGGGCAGTCTCCGGGCGGCTGGCGGGGCCGGTCCGTGAACAGGGAACAGGTACCCGGAGGGAGGGACGTTCGCTGGCAAAAACACAAACCGCTCCTCAGAGCCTTGGCACCACCCGGTTTTCAAGGACCCTCAGACTCCCGGAGCCCCATCCCAGGCGAAGGGGACAGCGCCAACCACCCTAACAGACGCATACAAAGGTACAGCTAGAGATGGCCCGAGACCCCCAGGGAGACAAGCAGAGCCAGCGCCAGAGAGAGGCGGGACACCCCGCCCCCTAAAACTGGGCACCCAAGGCGGCCGGCTCGCTCGCGGAGCAGCCCTCCCTGCCCCACGCCAGCCTTTCTAGGAGGTGGGGCCGGGGCGGCGCGCTGGCTGGAAGGTGGGAGGGGGCGGCTCGGGACGCGTCTTGGAGCTGCATTTGCGCGGCCAGTCACCCTTTGTACTTCGGAGATAATGGGCGTGAAGCACGGGAGGTGGGGGCGGGGGCTTTAGGGATGGGTAGAGGTTCTGACGCTCAAGGGCCACCTTGGCAGGTTTCACGCAACCTGCTCCCCCATCTCCGCTCGGGGAAAGGTCGGACTGCAGGGGCTGCGGCGATGGTGTGTGTGTGGTGGATCCTTTGTGTTTTGTCACTACCACTCCCCCGTTTCCCCACCCCGCGGCTCTGGCGTGGGGATTTCTCAAGTTGACCGGCCGTGGCGGCCAGCAGGTGCGCACAGAGCGGACCAAGCGGCTGCCAGCACTGACCGCGGGCCGAGACGCGACCGCGGGCGGAGAGGCGGCTGCGAGGCTCGTGCGCTGCCTGCCTGCCGGTGTGTTTTAAGTGTTATTGATTCGCCCGCATCTGAGTGGCTTTCCTTTTTTTCCCCTGCTTTAATCTTCATCTTGGCCCGCGCCCCGCCGTCCCGCGCGCATCCAGCATCCAGGAAGCCGGTCGGGCTGATTGGCGCTGGCCGCGTGCGGCTTTATCTCCTTTTTAATTAGAAACGGGGTGGAGGGACCCGGGAGGGGAGAGAGAAAGGGAAAACAACAGAAAATAACTCCCCTGGCCGCCCCGCCCGCCCGACCTCCCGCCGGCGGCGCCGAGACCTCATAGTCCCCGCAGGGGCCCAGCTGCCCGGAGGGAGGGCGCCGGCCTTCCGCCCCGCTGCCGCCCTTTGGGGTGGGGAGAGGGCCAGGTCGGGAGGAGTTGCAGGGTGGTTTGGGGCCAGGCCCTGCTGCTGCTCTCTGTACCTCGGGTTATCCATCTGTAAAATGGGCATGGGAGGCCTTTTGGTTCCTCGGATGGATGGCAGGGCACCTGTGGTATTCTTCTTTTATTTGGATAGTTCAAGTGACTCAAGCACTAGCCTTTTTGTAACAATCAGATGCAATAATAATAACTACCACAGCAGCTCATTTATTGAGTACTCACTGTGTGCCTGATACGTTCAGAGCACTTCCCATGTTTTGACACATTTAATTTTTCAGCAGCCCTATGAGGTGAGGTCTAGTTAATATCCTCATTTTAGCGATGGGAAAACTGAAGTACAGAGAGGGGATGTAACTTGCCCAAGGTCACACAGCTACTAGGTGAAGGAAGCTTAGATGGCACCCTAGACCTGAGCTCTTAGCTGCGAGACTGGTTCCTGTGCATTTTTTTACCCCAATATGTAGTTTCACTCTCTGCCGGTGTAGGGATTTCCTGGTGGTCAACTAGGTGTCGAGAGGTTCCTCCTGACTTGTGGCCAGAACATCTCCACTTGACCTCCTCTTTCTGTGCTGCGTCTTCCTGAAACATTTAAAATATCCTAGCTCCGTGTTAGACTCTCTTTGAGTGGCTGAGACGAATGACCAAGAGCTCTTGCTAGGGTCCTGTTTTAGATCCATCACCTGCTAGCCTCCAGGCCTGAACCTCGGTGAGCCTCTGTTCTCAGCTACGCAAAGTGGATATGTGAAATGGAGGTGGTGATTCCTGCCCTATAGGGCTGTTTAGAAAGGCCAACTGGTCTAGAGTTAGTGGTAGCACTGCCATACTGCATTTGCATATAATAGGGATGCTGCAGAAGTTCCCAGATGCATTCAAGGCATAACTAGGGGCACCTGCTGTGTAATAGGCAGTGACATTTTTGAAGCTCCACAATCCATTCAGCAAGCCCAGCAGACAGCCTCCCTGTCCTCAAGGAGCTGATGGTCTAATGAGAAAGACAGGTGATAAACAAGCAAGCACACAGGTTAAAAGCAAACACATACATTAAAACATTTCAGAAGACCATGAGTAATCAAGAGTATTAAGTAAACAAAACAGAGATTGTGATGGAAAGTTAGGAGGAATGGGGTGGAGAGGCAGGTTCCCTTAGGTGGGATGGTCAGGGAGGTGACCCTTGAGGTCACTTGGATGATGGCAAGAAGCCAACCGTGTGAAGGTCAGGGGGTGAGAGAGCTTCCAGGGAGAGGGACCTGCCCGAGGCAGGAAGAGGGCTGGTGTGTGGCAGGAGCGGCAGTTATGTGTTTCGAGAGGAGTGGGGTCACCTCAGCTTTTGTGGTGTTGGTCAGGGGACCCTCGCCTTGAGAAATCCCAATTCCAGAACAACGTCCCACAGCTGAGCCTGGACTGGAAAGATGAGGCACTTAGCCCAGCGGCTGACCATGGCCCATGTAAATGGGAGCTCATTATTATAACCAGAGTGAGGTCTTCTCTTTCAAAGGATGCTTGATGACCTTTAAAGGATTATACAAAAGGAAGCTCCAGACAAGTGGGCCATCTTTGTGTAAAGGGAGGGCTAGCTGCATTGTCAGGGCTACCACTGGAGCCTCTTTGGGGTTATCTTGATATTAGGAAATGGCCCCACCCTCAGGCCAGATACCCACGAGCCACACTGACGCCTCTCT